ACCATGAGGCAACAGCTAAAGGGTGAAAATCCTTCAGGGTAACAATGGCAGAACCCAAGGACAGACTCTCTAGACTTTGACTCATTAGGGTCATTTTAGAACAACTGAACCAACCCCGGAACTTTCACTTTCAAGGTTCTTATTGCCTGTTTTTATTGGCTAAGCAACTATTAAATATTCAATTACCAGTAGCTAATTCCATTCTCTTTGAAATGTGTACTTACTTGTGATGTGGTTTTGGCAAATCATTCAATCATTCATCTTTTTCATAGATGATGTTATCTATAATGTTATCTACTCTGAGCTGTTTTTTTGTACCTTAATAACTATTTACTGGGTTTACTGAAGTAATACATTAAAAATCTTTGCAGAATATTGGGTATAGCAAGAGGTGTTAATATCCCCTCTCAAGAGGTGGTTGTTAATATCATCTCTAAAAAGACATGTGCATCGTAGGCGATTCCAGATAATTCCAGATAGAGCCACTAGTTCTCAAAATATACGAGTAACAACCCCTAGCATTGGTTGAGTTCTTATTATGTGTCAGACTCTAAGAACTTCCACTTGCATTGCCTCATTTAATTCTCAGAATAATTTACTGCTGTCTACTACCCCCGCTGAGCAATAAGAAAACACAGGGAGCTGCAGCCTTGGTCTGCAGCTTTTATAAGGAACAACCAAAATCTAGGTCCAGACAGGCTCTCACTAGAAGCTGCTCTGCAATCATCACCTCAGACAGCTTCACCTCAGGCTCTCAGGGCCACAGCTATGAATGCTCCAGAATGGCATTGACCTAGAAACTCCATATTCACAGCAGACTGCCGGCCTCCACTTTTACTTGGCTCCGGTCTTAGCCAGGTTTCCAGGCTGGTCTGCGTCATAACCTGCAGCCAGCCTCCCCGAGGCCTACTGCTTTGTCGGACCTGTCCAGTGTTCTAGCCCTTCTTGCGGCTTTCAGTGGGGTGACCGTCATCCCCACCTCACCTTTGATCTCGCGTCTGGCCAATCCATGCTGAGAGCACCTGTGTTGCCTCCTGGGATTTTAGAGTTCATAATTCTCCAACCTACATCTTTGTTTACAAAAACAAAATGCTGGGTGTCATATTAGTAACTGAAGAAATGGAAGGTAGGAGCGAAAGCTGTGATTTGTCACATTTTGGGATGTCCCTGCATGTAGATTCTGATGTGCGACTCCCTGCTGTGGCTGAAAACCCACAGACCAAGAGTCCTCAGTTCAGACCCTTTGGCTGCTTTGCTAACTGATGGTATATCCTGTAGGAAAGGAAAAATGATTTTCCACAAACATACTGTATTTGAGGGAATGCCTGAGTTCTCCTTTTCCTCTCCCTGACAGCAGGAACGACCCCGAGGAAGCTGGAGGTGTTATACCAGCAAAGACAAGGCAAAGCTGCCTTTGGCCCTTTGAGGCCAGGTCAGCTCTCTGTCTAGCCAGAGAGGGGGTATTGCAGATCTGAGGCCATGCGTGGCCCCGGTTGTGTATTTTTTTACCTAAATACTTGTTTAAAACCCTTTAAAAACATAAAATCAATTATAAGCTAGGAGATCATACCAAAACAGACTCAGGGATGGCACCGGAATTCGGCAGCCCTTCTTAAGAAAAGAAAAAGGAGGTGAAATTCTCTCCAGGCCAATTAGCATCGGCCTGTCAGAGTGACAAAGCAAATGCATAAACTGTCCAGGTCTCAGCCTCCAGCCAGGACTGAGGCAATGAAAGGGGTCAGAGCCCAGGGTCCCTGGGCTGGCCACGACATAGGGTCCCTGGTGCTGGCCATCCTGTGCCCACAGACTCTGGGGGTCTGAGCTCACCAGGGACCCCACTGGTTCCCACAGGCAATGGTTTTCTTGTCCCGGTCATTTTTCTTCCAAAAGAATCTCAGTTAAATGATAATGTCAAATGTGCCATCAGGATGAGGTGGGGACTGAGTTAGCCAGGAGGTCGCAGCTACCACAGGCCAGGGGCTGCCTCACTGTCTTTTGGCAAAGAGGAGAGTTTTGCCCCTGTGGACAGAGAAGCAGGATGCAGAGTGAAGATGCTCCCTCACTGTCTCCACAGCTTGCTCTCCTTTGATGAAATGATTACTAGCTTTATAACCCTCTTGGCGCCAGTTACTGAGGTTCTGGATGGATATCATAGACAAAAAATTAAAGATGCTGACTTTTTTGGGAGTGGGGGAGCGCATGCTTCCTCCTTCTGTTACTTACTCCCCCAACACCATAAACAAAAAACTGTCAATTTGCTCACCATTAGGGGATTTGGTCTTTTCACCAATGGTACTTCTCCCTACCACTGTCCCTTGTACACTTTTGATTCTTTCCCCTCCCCTTCCCCTTATTCTCAGAAACCTCACTTTGTTAGTGTCTGCTAGTTTTCTGCAGTATTTTACATTGTTGAGTTGTCTGCTCTGTGTTCATCCAATATTTGTCTTATCATTCTGACCTGCTTTACTACATGTCATTCCTTCAGACTGCTCCCATGCTGCTGTTGATGCCATGACTGCCTTTTTAGGGCTGAGTAGTATTCCACAGTGTGGACAGGCCTCCTGGGCCCAAGCCTCCCGCAGGCACCCTCAGGTGGTTTGCACACCCCAGCTGCTATAACTAGCACATTTCCTTAAGGCTGTCCCCTTAAGGACGGGGCTATTCCTGATTTTTACCTGGCCAGGTATAACTCACACTCACGGTCCTACCTCCTGGAAGAGCTGTGGAGGCTCTGACGGGTGGTCTCCAAAAGGACTTCCTCGCTAAAACTTTAGTGCAGGGGGCAGGAATTTTGCCCATTCCAAGTCCGTCCATCCAGCAGTGGTTGAGGAATTGGCTCTGGGAGCATGACCTATGATGTGAATGTTACTTCTTGAAGTCACACTGCAGGAAACGGTCACAGGTTCAACCCCATAGCTACCCTGTGGCAGACAAGGCCACTAAGACCCTACTTTACAAGACATGTTTTGGGGGGCATTCCTTCTTTTTCACTGTCTTATTACCTGGCAAAATAATCCAGGAGGTGTGTGAATCGCCATTAGAGGTTGCAAAGTCCGAAGAAGTAGAATCAGCCTTACAGACAGTGGATCTCAACGAAGACGGTGACACTCCACCAGAACCCACAGAATTAAAACCCAAAAGAGAAGAACGCAAACCACAGAAAACCTCCATCCTGGCGTTTTTCAGACAAATGGTAAGCCACTTGCTTCCCGCCCAGAAAGTCCTCACTTACCATCGTCAGTGGGTTCTTGGAAATTGTGACTTTAAGCAAAATGAGGAATCACAAAATCTGCTCCTTGAATAATGACGTTTTGTGCAGCATCAGCATCTTTTTTCTCATCAACATTTTGATGAAATGATGTTATTCAGGGACCTGCTGTACAGGAGAAAGGGAAACACCTAGATCAGCCGCCAAGGACAAAGGACTCGCGTGGGACTCAGTAGGGGGTGGCACGCGCACAGTGTGAGACAAAGGTGACTGAGTTGTCCAGTGAGAGGATTCCCGTTTACTTTTCTGATTCAATCACAAGGAAATCTCGGCTGACTGCTGATAACCCTTAATCTCCCTTTAACCCCACTGACTCCCTTTTGCTAAAGAGACAGCTGACTTTGGTCCTGAGCGATGGCAAACAATGACTTCCACCTAGACGTGGATATGACTTCCTACCTTCTGTTTTATGACTTTGTGAGGTTTCCCTCTGTTTGTGCAAACGATACGCTGTTCTCACACAGCTAATGACAGGCGTTTTCCTTGGAAAATGTATTTACTACATAAAGAACAGAGGGCAGTTTTTAAAGCATGGGTAATGCATAGCAGGTTATAGATTGATTTGGGGGAAATTCTGACGGTGATGTGTGAGGGACACAAATTTGGACAAAACCGATTTATTAATTCCAATAAGGAAAGGACTCTCCTGATAATGAACGTGTGAATGTGGTGGGGGAACTCGCCATGCCACACAGAAGGAAAATGTGTGGGCAGGTCTCCTTGGCATGTATCAAGAGTCTTGTCCATGAAATATCTAAACAGCCAGAAACTTGAATCATACAATGCAATAAAAGCCAAATTGGTTAGAAGACAAAAAACAAAAACTCCTGTAAAAGGTCATTGGTTTAATTCTCTTTTAATGAAAAACAAGAATTTCATTATCGTATGCCTTTATTTTCAGGAGCATTGGGGAGTTTAATCCTTTGAGAAAGCAATCTCTAATTTCACAGGCTCAACCTGTTAAGGAATTCTTTCTGGTCCACAAAACTAAACCAAACAAAGCCCTTGCCAGTGGGAGTTGAGGCGTATTAGAAACAAGTCTGCTAGACATTGTTGACAGGCGCCATGTTCTTTCTCTCCGGGTTCTCATGGAGTAAGAGGGGAGTGGGTGAGTGGGCCGTCCATGCAGCAGGAAGCCCAGCTGGCAGTTTGGCACCAAAAAAGGGGCTCAAGATTTGAGCTTTTGCAACCAATTTTTACACCATATCAGGAAAGAAAAGAACATTTGGTTTATTTCTGGCAACCCATCTAAATTACAAATGGGATCCCCAAATAGTTCATAACATCGAGGAGCATCCAACTTTCTCGCTTCTGGATGGAACCGAGAGTTAAAAAAAAAAAAAGAAGAAGAAGAAGAAACCCAAACAGAATGATGTTCTCTTCCAAGTAACAAACATGAGACTTTTCCACTTAAAGGAGAAAGTAGGAGAGTGCTAAATCGAGCATAGGAACCCTTTCAACCACCCACCATCCATTCAGAACAAACCTCACTGCATTCCAGTGAGGTTCTATGTCACTTAACTTTATCCTCCAGGGATATCCACCAGATATTGTTTGGGGAGATGTTCTAGCAGTAGAAACTGGGTGAGTCTGAGCTATTAAGGGAACAAATTGGAAACAGTGTCCTTTGAAATTGTTTCTCCATAGGATGAAAAGAAAATATTTTCACAAACTATTCTCTATGGGATTATGTTACCTATTGCCTGAGAGTTTGAACATTACTCTCTCATATTTTTTAAAGATTCATTTATTTATGCATACAGAACTGGGGTACAGCAGAGTGGGGAGCAGAACAGGCTGACTGACGAAGTGCACTGCTGAGGGGAGCAGCGGGCGGGTCAGGAGAGGTCTGCTGGGCCACGCCACGTGAGTCACTCCCTGGCTCACTCTGAAGCAGCTGCACTTTAACCCACTGCACCACTAGGGAGGGTCCAGATCTTCATGTTTTAATATCACCATAGTACAGATTCCCAGAAGTCAGCTTCAGCAATTATTTTTGGGAGACATTTTTTGGTAATGTTTTCATGGCTTCCCAACTGATTTAAAGTTATTGGGTTTGTGCAGGAAAAAAACAACTTGTTGTAAAATGCTTGACAGTAGATACAACAGTTGGATCGTGAATGTGGGTTTTTGAGCTGATAAGTGAATATTTCAGCCCAGTTTTAATTGTTAGTAAACTATAGTGGGTTTTTTTTTATGAGTAATGCAATTGCAAAGGTTTGTTTTGTATTCAGTATCTGTTGTCATCAGATCACTGATTTTCTACCTACCAGCCCCTGACTCCCTTAAATTTCTTTCAAGAAACACATCTTACTACCCCAAGCAAAGTAGCCCTTGGCTGAGTATTTTATTTTTAAATAAATTCACTGACCAGTTCATTTCTAAAGAAATCTTCTCTCCAGAAATTAATCTCTCTTTAAAATAAAAATAGAGGGACCTCCGTGGTGGCGCAGCGGGTTAGGACACAGTACTGCAAGCTGGCTGCAGCGGCTTCAGCGTGAGTTCGATCCCCAGCCCCGGAGCTGACCCACGGAGCTGACCTGTCTCCCTGCTGCTCCCCTCAGCAGTGTACTTCATCCATCTGCCTGTCCTGCTCCCCACTCTGTCTCTGGGGAATCCTCTCACTGCCCTGCAACCCTGGTCTGTATCCCAGTTCTGTATGCATAAATAAATTAAAAATGGAAGGAATATTATTTTTCAAATAATTCTATTTGAAAAGAAAACAGGGCCCCAGAAAGCCTAGCCCTGCCTCCGATGCACGTGGCTTGAAGATAATTGCACCCGAACAGCTAAGACATCTGTCACGCCCCAAATAGAAAAAGATTCGTATATGTATTAATTCAGCTGTGTCAAGAAATTGGATTTTTGACGCACTAGTATATTTTTACAAAGTGAGTGGGTGGGAACTGGAGTTTGCACCCACCCAGCGGTAGACAGCAGAAGCCAGAGGAGGGAGGGAGGAACAGAGCGATAGATTGATAATTGGTCAATATGAAGAACACCTCCTGCTGGAAAGCACTTTCTCCCCCCAGGCTTTCGTCATTTCCAGTATTCCATTTCCTCTCCTCATGCCTCTTTCTTTAGACCATGAGTTTCGTGAGAAACTCTTCTTGGGAATAACACTCTCGGGCTCAGAGAAAGACCGTGGGCTTGAATTCCGGGCAAAGTAAAAACCCACAGAACTTCATGGATGACAGTCAATCTAATCAATGTAAGGCAGCCTATGGAAACGCACTCTGGAGGAGGGGCTTGTGCAGGCGATCGTGAAACAAACAGGATCCCCTCGCCAGGGTTCTTCCCTGGCACTGAAATGGGGATTCTGAGCTGCTCTGCGGGGAAATGTCTGAAGGCAGCACTATGGGGCAGTCGGGGTCCCTACCAGCGGTGAGCGCTCCTCCCTCACAGGGACCCTGCTGAGTGGACATGTCTCAGAGGGGCACACGCTCGCGAGTGCGTGCTGACCACGGGCAGGGGACATGGCCGGCCCCGCTGAGCCCATCCTGGGCGTTGGCTCATTGCTCAGTATCGAGCCTCGGCCAGTGCCCTCCGCCCCTGTGCAGACAGGGCACGCGGACGCCGGGGCTCGAAGGCTTCCCCTTGTCCCTCTAAGTTGCTGCGGCTTCCTGGGCTTCACAGGGAACTGCTTCCCTTGAAAGGAACTGGAGGGAGAAAACCCCTGGGCTCCCAGCTCAGGGGTTGTTCTCCTGGAGCTGCCTTTGTGATGGGCCGGGCTATTCTGGCCGTCCAGCCGGAAAGGACAGTTGACCCATGAGCACTCCGGCCTACGACGTGGGAATAGCCTTGTCACTACGGTGAGGTGTCCCTCGGCTGTGTCATGTCGTCCAAATTGCCGGTTCCACGTCAAGTGAGCATCCTGGTGAAACGCAGCCTTTGTTTATCCTGGAAATGTGTAGTCGGGGCTGTTGAGATGGGGCTGATCCAGTAAACACTCCTGCTGATGTACTCACGCTAAATTAAAATCTCCTCGCAAAGCTTCCGCTCTTAAATCTCAGCTTCAGTTGGATTCGCTATCAGAATACATCTGATTTCTTCCCAAGAAATAGGCACCCGGCTCCAAACATTCCCACAGCATTTTTTGAAGATTTCTTTATTCATGCATACAAAAACTGAAGTGAAATCCAGGGGTGGGGGAAGGGGTGAGACGATTCCCCAGAGACAGAGCGGGGAGCGGAACAGGCAGATCGAGGAAGTCCACTGCTGAGGGGGCAGCGGGCGGCCGGGAGAGGTCTGCCATGCCACGTGCTCCTTGGTCAAGAATCGAACTGGTGCTGCAGTGGCTGTGGACAGCTTCATATTGCTGCGCGTTGACCCATTGGGCCATCAGGGAGGGCCCCCCACAGCATTTTGAATCTCGGGGTGATGGAGGTTGGACATGGGCCCTCACAGCATGGACCACAGTGAAAACCACAAAAAAAGACTTGATTCATCTGCAGGGCAGGGGTGTCAGAACTACAGCCCAAGGCCCTGAGGTGCTTGTTGAAGAAAGCTGCCCAATCTGGACAGTGGACAGTCTCTGAAATGACTTACTACTCTTCACACTGCTCCTCAAAGCTCTGAATAGTCTGAAAGAATTTTCATCTCCTGAAAGAGCAACTGCTGATTTCGACAGCAGGGGACAGTGAACTGCTGTGGTTATGGTCCTTTGAATACAAAATCAGACACGAACTGTTAGAATTGTCTTTGTGAGAGGAATCTGCAAAGAGAGGGAAGGAGGAAGGGAGGCAAGGAGGAAGGGAAGAGCAAAGACGGGAGGAAGGAAGGGCTACAGGTATGAGAGAGGCCCCAGGTGGGGTTAATAGGGCCCTGAGTCTGACTCAGTATAAATCCATCCTTAAACAAACACGGCTTTCTGTAACTCAAAAGGAACAACAAAGAAAAATCTTAGAAAACGTCGAGCCACTCTCCTCTCCTTCGTTTCGCTGGAGGATGCTTCCATGGCAGGGATGGCCCTGGCGCCTGAGGACTGTTTGCAGAGTGTATCCCAGGCCCGGCGGAGGGATGGGACTGGACTCAACACGTTGGCTCCGGGAAGCCACAGCCTGGGCTCAAGGCTTTACAGCTGTGATCGCCATGTTAAAAATGCAAATTTTCCAGAAGGATTCCAGATGTAATGAATGAGCACTCTCGGGGCAGGCCCTGCAATCCCGGATGCCACTGGTCCCGCAGGTGTGGCTGAGGCCGTGCACTCGCTCGGGGATCCCTGCTTCGAGCTAAGTGGTCATGGAAAACACAGCTCTCAGCCAGTTTCAGCTGTGATTCTTGTGGCACTCTACTGTGCAGTGCTTGACCAAATGTCTACAAGTCTGATCGTGACTGGCTCTTAGCAGAATTTTGATTTGGGTGTCATCCATCCCTGTCGTGGATGCCTCTGACCACAGGGGGCGCTAAAGGACAGAAAATGCATTGCCGGTACATATGCACAATGGAATATTACTCAGCAACCAAAAAAGAGAAACACATGTCTTCTGCAGCAACTTGGATGGAGCTGGAAAAGATCATGCTTAGTGAGATAAGCCAGAAAGAGAAAGAAAAATACCGATTGGTTTCACTCATCGCAGGAGTATAATGGACCAGGCGAGAAAAAAAAAAAATGCATTGCCGGGCACACCCTATTTCTCTACCGGGGCAGAAATACACAACCCCCAAATGTGCCCACTGAAGACTAGCAATGCTTTCATTGTTCATTTGTTCACTCATTCAGCCTGTTCAACTACCTCCCGGTGCCAGCGTTAGTGACCATAGTCATTTATTCCAGAATTACCTAGTCCCACGGTTTGGGGCTTCTGTGTTTGTTCTGGGAAGCCACAGCTGGGATTTCATCAGGCTGGGGCTACAGGCTGTTCCCGAGTCACGTTCCCAGCGTGGTCCCAAATCTCTGTGGTGAGCGACTGGGCTCGTCCCAAGCTCCCTTGCGCTTTCTCCATGTCGCTGTCTTGTGTCCCTGAAAGGCCATTGTCTGTTTGTTATTTTAGTCAGTGACGGGGGATGGAGGGGTCACCCACCCGGAGGACTCAAATGGGAAAGACACCGACGACCAAGTAAGTGGTCTGGAGACGTGGCTCGGTGGTGGCACTGGCCAGCCGCTCTCCCTTCTGCCCAGCCTCCTTTCCTCCTATTCTCCACCTCGGCCGCTCGCAGTGCAGCTGCGGGATGAGCAGCCCTGTACTCCAGGCGCCGTCTCGGGCTCTGCAGACACCCACAGGTGCCTGCACTGTTTTTTCGCACGAGGCTTTCCACGAGGCTTTGCTCCTGCTTCTCCGCGTGGGAAGTCCTCTCTTTCAGCCTCAGCCTGTCTGTTGCCCCCTCACAGACCTCCTCCAAGCCCACCCATCATCCTGCTTCGTCTTCTGCTTTATGATACTTTCATTCTAATGCGTCATGTATCTGAGTCCCATCTTCTCGCTCAAGCCCTGCCCAGCTGGGGCGTCTGTGGGCAAAAGGAGCCTCTTCTGATTTCCTGTCTTGCTTGGTGCTTGGCACTTAGTAGGAGCTATTTCTTGACTAGTGACTGGGATACTGGCTTCTGTTCTCTCTCCTATGGGAACATACTGTGTGTGTGTGTGTGTATATATATATATATATATATATATATATATAATTATTGTTTGTTTTTTAATGGAATCAACTCACGTTCAACACTCGAGAAATATTCTTTTTTACCTGAAAAATATACCTCTACAGACGTATAGTTTTGTCAGAGGGGTTAAGGGGTTACGAGCAGGAGCAGCAGACTCACTCCCTGGGTTCAAATCCTGCCTCACCAACTCTTTGGATGTGTGACTAAGGGCGAATTACCAAACCCGCCCCTGCCTCAGGCTCCTCACCTACGTGATGGGGCGGGCCAGGAGAGGAGGTACCTCCAGGGTATTGTGTTTAAGCAAATCAGACCCTGTCAGGCACAAAGAACACTCCTGTGCATGCTCCCTACACATTCACGGGAGCCAGAGCCACACAAAGGTGACGGGCATGAGCTGTTTTGAGAATAACGTGTCCGAGGAATAAGAGGGGCCTCGAGGCTGAAGCAGCGAGAAACAGGAGCTGAGGCTGGCGGCCCCCGGGGCTGCATTCAGCAAGGCTCCCCGAGCGGCACCCTAAGAAAACGTCCAGGTTACGCCCCCATGTGAAAGCAGGTGACCAACCGGTCCCAGTTTACAAGGGTTTTCCCGGGTTTAAAACTGCCAGCTGTGTGTTCTGGAATGCCCTTCCTTCCAGATCCACCCAGGTGACGGGCCACTTGTGCTGGCTTTTCTGTGGCCCGGACGCCACAACAGGCTGTCTATACCGGCTATTTCATCCTCATGAGCCTTGGGGGGGTGAGGTCTCCCGTCTCTCCACGTGTAAGGAAGCCAGAACATCCACTGATTTCTGGTGACGGACAAAGGCCGCAGGGGAGCTCACCTCACCTGTTCCTTCGACTTCTCACACACCTGCTGCCTCTTAGAATCTTCTGAGCCACAAAAGCCAGAGTGAGGTGTTGGAGGGGGTCCTGGGGCCGGCCTTTGGGAGAGTGCCCTGGTGAGTCTGCCGCGTGCTCACGTGAGTGTCCTCTCTGGCGCTGTCCGGGGACAGCTGTGTCTCAGCACCTGCGAGACCTGGCTGCTGGCTACCTGGCGGAGGAGGGACAGCAGCAGGACACTGTGGCTCCTGGAGTTGGCTCCGCCTTCTGCAGGGCCTTCTGCCCCCATCCCTGTCGTGGATGCCACTGACCACAGGAGGCGCTAAAGGATAAAAAAATGCATTGCAGGACACATCCTATTTCTCCACCAAGGGAAGAAATACAAAACAAAGAAATACAAAGGCTTTGCACCAACACTTCTCTCAATGTCTTCTCACTCGTTTCTATAGGGTGCGCTTGGGCCACTGACATGAAATGAGAGTTCGCACGATAGCCGCGTTCTCAAAACTGCTCCTTGGTATAGAATTTGTGGACTTGGGATGGAACTTGATGAAGCATTATAGACACCTATGGGTCAAATGTAGTCCCAAGTGTCCTTGAGGTTTTAGTGGTTTGCCAGAAACAGGGCTTTAAAAATTTTGAAGTCAATATTATGTAATTGGTGTCTTTTACATTAAAAAAAAATCAGTGTGAATGATTCAAAAAGACACCTGCACCCCCATGTTTATTGCTGCTTGATTTACAATAGGAAAGACATGTAATCAACCCAAATGCCCAAAAGTAGATGAAAAAGATGAAAAAAGATGTGGTACATATACACAGTGGAATATTACTCAGCAATAAAAAAGAGAAGCACATGCCTTTTGCAACAACATGGTTGGAGCTGGGAGGGATCATGCTTAGTGAGATAAGCCAGAAGAAAAGGGAAAATACCAGATGGTTTCACTCATAGCAGGAGTGTAAAGGACCAGGGGAGAAAATAATAATAATGATGGATATACCTATACCAGAGACATTTTATGGGGGTGGAGTGGGGAATGGGATCAAAAATGGGGGGGAGGGAGTGTACTGGACTATGGTGATGGCACACAGGTGATTTGGTGATGGGAAGCCCAAGGAATTAGAACTGAGATGGAAAAAGGCGCAAAATGATGTAAAAATAAACTATTATATAATTCTTAGAAGTCAATGTGAAATTTCCAGTGACGATCTGAGGGCACTGGAATGGTTTCCCTGCCTGGTGTCTCTTGGCTGAGCCTAAGTGGCTTTGTCTCTCTAGAAGGGCATGTGATACTCAGTTCACCACCGTCCCCACTCTTCTGAATTGTCTCCCCATCACCAAAGCCAGCATTGCTTGAACTGGTGCTTTTCTTACACTAGAGAAATAGTTCTAATGCTATTTCACAACTAGGGACATGATTTTTCTTATGTAAGCCTCTTTTATGTTTTATTTTATCTGTCTGGGCCCCATAGTCAACTCAAGTAAATTATTTTTCAAGTAGAAAAGACTTCTACTTTCTAGTAGACTTTTGTTTGTTTGTTTCTGAAATTTACCTCATATCTGCTAGAATGTGGGATGTACAGACTTGTCCCTCCAAAGTGTGGAAACCAACTAGGGCAGCAAACATTTCACTTCACCATAAATGGTAGATGTTTAAAACTAAACATAAATAATCATTTTCCTGTACGACTGTTTCAGGAAGTGAAGGGACAGTTTCCTATCAGAAGTCCCGATGGACATAATCAAGATGAAAACAATAGGCATCCCCAAGAAGAGTGCCCAGCGTGGCTGCCAGTAGCAGACAGCCTTTCCATGCTGCTTCACACACAAATGGACTTCAGTGGCAGCAAGCTCCAGGCTCCCACCGTGTTCAGTCTGTGCGGTCTTTCTTCCTCTCTCTTCATCTCTCAACTTTGCTTTTTCCTTTTCAAGTAGAATTTTTTTCCTGGAAATGGTGGTGACTCTGAGAACCTCAGGCTTTTATCTTCAAACTTCAAATCCAACAGAAAAGGAGCCACACTTTCTCCCAGTTGGTTCAGCAAAGTTCTGCTGTTAGCTCCTTTTTTACATATGTTAGTCCTTCCTAACCCAAACACAGCAGCCCAGTCAGGTGCAGTGCTCTGATGGGCTGGGCCAGAATCATGTGCTTTTGTCCAGAGGTGGAATTAATTTATCTAAACCCTACAGAATAACCAAGACGTGTGGTTCCCAAAAGCAAACCCAGGTTCTTAAGTAGGATAAAGGCAGCATTAACTATCCACTCTAACCACCAATTATTATATGGCCTGTGAACTCTTTCTTGTTTTTCATTTAACTCAGGACTCATGAAAATGTAGATCCTGACCCACATTGAACATCTCTATGCTCACGTTTGTTCACCTGCTATTGAGTTTTCTTGCAGCCACTAAAAATAGATCTTGTCTGAACTTGCTGTAGACATCAAACTCAACAGAGAAGGCCACCACACCTCCAGAGCCAGAACCTCCAGTGGCAACCCCAAAGGGCAGAGAGGGTTCGATCAAGGACAAGAAGGCAGCAGTCGAGGTGAACAAGCAGAAGAGCAACAAGCCGGAAGCCAAAGAAGCACCCCACTGTGAGCCGGCCGCGGTAGAGGTGAACTCACTGCAGAACGGCGAAAAGGCCCAGAAGAGACCTGAGAGACGGCGGCAATCCCTCGGCGGATTCCTCAAGGGCCTGGTAGGTGGACAGCTCCCGTCTTCTTTGTGGGCTCTGGGCAAGGGGTGTGTTTCAGAATCCCAAGGGCTGGAGCTTGGCAGGACATTGCTCAAACTACATTTTTTGAGTGTCTAGGGCTACCATGTGCCAAGACTGTGCTACAAGGTAGACAGGGAACTTGCTGACCCAGAGCACACAGTCAGGGAAGAGTTGAAGGATGAGGGAAGAGTTGGAAGGATTGGGGGGGAGGCCAGGAGGAGCCCAATTGAGAGATCGGGACCCAGCATGGGGGTGACAGGCTTGTTAGGCAAGGTCTCTCAGAGGAGGTGACATCGAAGGCAGAAAGAACCACTGGAGGGAGGGGGCCAGGAGAGGGCTGAAGTGCTGGTGAGCAGACAGGAAAGAGAAGCTTGAATGGCTGCAGGAAAGGACACAGGACAGGAACAGATGATGACAAGGAGAACTGATGTTGGGGCATCGAAAAACAATTGTGTTATTCCCTGGATGGCAGAAGTAATGACAGCTTGATGCAGAGGAATTCTTTTTACTGACATGGCAATTTTAGGCAGACTGATGGAGCAGATATTTGAGATTTGCTGTTCAAGTACCTTCATAAAATGTGTCCTACAGTAACCCATCTCTTCTACCCGACTTCAGCTCCCTGAGTTTAGATGATTTCCAGTAACCTGTCTATTCGCATCACAGATACTTGTAGACTGCTTTGTGGGCTCCAGGTAGTGTGTCAGTCAAGCTACAACTTGGGGGCCAAATTGGCCCACCACTTTTGTTTTTTAAATAAAGGTTTATTGGCACACAGCCACAATCCTATTTACATAATGTCTGTGAGGTTGTCACACTAAAAAGGCAGAGTTGGATAGTTGCACCAGAGACTAGATTGCTCACAAACCCTAAAATATTTACCATCTGGCCCCTTACAGAAATGCACCAAGTCTTGAACTGCATGCTGGGGATTTATTCCGTGAGCAAAGGAAATGGGGCTCCTGGCCTCCAGAGCGCACATTTTTAGTGGGAAAACGCGACACAGATCAATTAGACAACAGAGAGACAGTGGGAGTCGTGGGCAGACGTTAAAAGGGTACTGCCATATTGTCGCTCTGGGTGGGAAGAGAGAGGAGAGGGTTGGGTCCAGACAGTAATATTTGGAGATGAGTCAACAAGGATTACTGGTCCCAAATGGGGACAGAGCAAAGCTCTTTGGCCCAGGGCGGGGGGCACACGTGCAAAGGTCCTGGGGTGGGGGGGTGGGGTGAGCTTCGTGTGTTTGGGAAAGAGGCGGGAGCCCTGGTTTCGGAGGCTGGTGAGCGGGAAGCAGGTGAGGCTGCACCATGACCAGTGGCAGCTCAGTAGATGTGCGAGTATTGACATAATCCCGCATAAACTGGGAAGGACTCAAGGTGGGCCTTGTTTACAACTTTAAAGGCTGTTTGTGTTGCCTTTAACATGGAGAATTGCTGCAGAGGTTCAAGAACAGAAACGGACACCCAACTGATGCACGTCCAGGGTCCGCTGGGTGAGCTGGTGGTGATATGCCGGCAGAGGTGACAGGCAGACAGGCTTGAGGAAATAGCAGGGCCCTGAGCCCCGAGCCCCTTCTGTGGGGGCTGTGTTCCGTGACCTACAACATCTCTTCAAGGACAGGGACAGCCCCATGAGCTAGGGACCTTGCTCCCCAAGTCCCACTTCCCTACCCCCCTCCCCCCGGGTCGCAGGCACGGTGGTGGAGGGAAGCCGTCCACCTCCAGGATTTCCAAGGAGGCCCGACCCCCTGCCGAGAGAGCTGTGCTGCATCAGGGCCTGCACCAGCAGGGAACCCCCAGCCCAGCCCGCCTCCCCCCAGATCCCAAAAGACCTCTCAGCACCTCAGTGACCCCCACCGGGCCTGGGTCTCCAGCACACCTGCGGGATCTCTGCTGCCTGGGTCCTCTCTGCCCAGTTCTTCCGGCTCCTCGGTTGCTCCACTAGGGAGCTGTGCTGCAAGCCCAGGGCCGGAGGGAAGTCTCCAGAAAGCATGCCAGCAACCCAGCAACCATCTGCAAATGTTTTGCTCTGGAGCAAAGGCGCTCACACTCTCAGCATGGGGAGTACACTGCACCAGAGCAGCACGGGGCCTGCCCGACCTTGTGCAGAGCTCAGCCCCCAGCCCCCAACTCCCACACACGCACACGCACACGCACACGCACACGCACACTGCGCTTGTGGCCACGTCTCTGCCAAGTGCTCCACTCCTGCACCCCGGCGGCGCCTCCTCAGCTTCGCGCTGCGGGACCGTGTGGACCGCACAGGCCACCGCTGTCTCTGTCTCACGTGCTCCCCCGGCCCCGGCCTGGGCGGCGCCAGACACCATGTCGCCCGTGTTATGTCACTTACCCTCGGGCATTATGTCCACTGCAGGCACTGTACTGGTGTTAGGGGCAGGGAGAGGGGCACCCCTGAACCCCCAAACCTGCCTGCCCTAAAGGGGTTCTGCCATCTGCCGCATCAAGGCAAAACATATGAGACCTTTCATGGAAAGGCGCTTTAGTACGAGCGTGCAAGACAGCAAACACAAAGATTATAGTTTCTAAATCAGACACCCAGAGTGGCCCGTCCCCTCGTGGGCAAAAGTCCACCCAGAGCAAGGCCCAAAAGCCAGACTCAAGTCTACAGCACCTGCTGTGGGACCCACAGAAAAGGGTCAGAAATGGCCAGACAGGTCTGGGAAAAACCAACATCAAGATAAACGCGCCACCGTCACCTACGCGTCCGCTCAATAACCTAGCTGAGGAGGTGCCGTCAGGGGTGCGTTTTTCTAAGAACAGAAACAGGGCGATGTGGTCTGAAAGTGACTGGGTCGTGAACTCTGGTTACCCGAGATCAGCCTGATCGCCCCCATGTTAAAGCTGAAAAACTGAAGCACAGAGAGTTCAGTCATTTGTGCAAAATGTCCCAAAGCTAGAGAGTACCGGGACCGGTCCTGGAGCACAGGCAGCCCGTGGGAGGCCTCCTCTCCTCCAGCAGGCAAAGTTATTTAGCACCCCGGGCACAGAATTCAGCACGGCATCACAGGCAACGTAGCTGACATCACGGGTTGTCATGAAAATACAACTTCTTTCTATTTTCTTCCAGGGGCCGAAGCGGATGTTGGATGCGCAAGTGCAAACAGACCCAGTGTCCATCGGACCAGCTGGCAAATCCAAGTAAACAAATCACTGCAGCCCCGGGGCTCCCGCCCCCGAGATGTCTTCTCCCCTCCACCCCCCAGTGTACATACTCTGTCTCCCCATGGTGATCGAGTGAAAATCCACCTACAAATTAGCCTGAGCTGTTGTATATTAAGGTGTATTATTTATGTCTCTGGTCCAGTCTTACCTGGTAAATGCTGTAAAGATGGTCGGGCAGGTTGGCGAGTGAGGTCCCAGGAGGTGAAGGTTGCCAAGCAGGGGATGGGGGGGCAGATGCCTTGGCGTTGAGGGGTGAAACATGGTGGTCACAAGTAGTTGCCTGTTGGGAGGAATTGAGCACGAAGAGGGAGATGAAAATCCCTTTGTTTCAATTCACATTTGAGGAGCAAGATCTGGGGCCTGTCGGGAGGTTGCCAATTTCTTGGGGTGGAATGGGGCGTGGGGGCTCGGATGAAAAACGGGGTGAGTAAGAGTTGGTTTTCCAATAGGACCCTTGAAAGTGATTGAGGAGAGGGTAGCGATTGACTGGAAAGGGCTCGAAATGATTTGGGAAAACAACGGCTTTGGGAAGTTGGGTGAGAAGAGCAAGGATTTTACTTCAAAAAGACAAAAAAAAAAAAAAGCCGGAAACAAAATAGACCAAATTGCACGTTTACTTGGCTACACCAGAGGGCGCCCAGGGCGCCCCTGAACCGGCTCGCTGTATCTATCCCTAACCGAGATTTGGTCGCGATCTTACATTATTAATGTTTCTCAGATGGCTGAGGGCTTGCTTCATCTGTTCTGTCTGACACTTATCTCAAGTCTGTCTGTAATTCCCTAATGTGCTCTGGATGTGTTCTGATAAAGCCCATCCCGTAATCCCAGTTAATAAACATTTACAGAAGATGATTCAAATACCTGAGATTTTTAATACGTGTACAGGTGAATAAACAGGACCACGAGTCCATTCAAGTGGAATTCAAAGTAGCACGTGATTGACTGATACCTTGCTCACTGTATCTTGCTTTTTCTGACTTAATAAAAAAAATACATGTACATGGAAAGCATCTGTTAATTGTCCACCTCGAAAGCAGGTCTCAGACTCGGCGTGAGAGGCCTTTGCCTCGCACAGCCTCGACTCCTCTCTCCCAGGCCCGCACATGCCGCCGGGCGTGTGTTTCTGGGAGAACACGCAGGCGCCAGCTCAGGGCGGGAGCTGAGGACGTGGCTGAGCGAGTCGGGAGTGCGGCCCCCCAGCGCCCAGAGGCCGGTGCAGGGATGGCGCGTACCCAGCGGTCCTGCTTCAGGCAAGGGCGGGCGACCTTTGTCCCCCTTGAGTCGTGGCCACCCTGGCGGGAAGGTGTGGCCCGGGGAGGCTGTCTGACTAGCTGAGGCGGTGCGACGCCATGCAGCCCCGCTGCAGCACGCCTGAGCTCCGGCCCGGCCCGGCTCGCGCCCCAGCCGGGTGCCCCAGTCAGGCGCTAGGCGCTGTGGGCGCTCGGGCCGCAGCACGGTCGGGGCGCACAGGCCCGACTGAGCTCGCCAGGCCCCACAGCCACACCTGTAAGTCCATCACGCTGTGAAATACCCGCTGGAGGTTGTCCCCTGACAAGTTTGCACCTTGCAAATAAAGCCCTGGCTTTTGCAAAAACAAACAAGCAAACAACTTGAAAAATAGGTCTGCTTGAACAGTAAAAAGACAGCTCTGGCAGCCAGAATCCAGGCGGGGCTCTCCGGCTGCATGGGGCGAGTCCTCCTCCCCGAGCTGGGCTATGGCTTCTTCACTCAGCCCTCCTGCCTCGAGCCCAGGGGAGATCTCCATGTCTGCCGTGCACCCCCCTAGCCACCTGGTGCCACTTCAGGTCAGAGTGCTTAATTTGGCACAAATCACCGGGGAAGAGTCTCCCGGGGAAGCCTGGGGAGGGGGGGTTCCCTGGCTGACCCCCTCTAAAGAACAGGGATAAGTCAAGTGAAGCAGGCAGCTGGCGTTCCTTTGTCTCCCACTGGGGGAGGGGTTAGGGCTTGCCAGGTGCGCCCTTTGACCTCTGGGGAGCCACAGGTCTGCCAGTCCATTGAGAAAAGTGACAGTGTCATTTGCAAGTTTCCCCTCACTGGGCACAGGGGCTTTAGGCCTCAAGAGAAATGTCCCTCCCACCCCCACCCCAGTCACCAAAGCAGCAGGAGCCCAGCCGGCCCCCCACTCTCCTCCAAAATAAATCAGAGTAAGAAGGTTCTCTCCAAAGCATGCCCATGATTTCTGTGCCTGGCTTCCCGTCCTCCTGGCCAGAAACAAAAAGGCGAGCCCTCTTTTAATGCAATTGCTGACTGTTCTTTAAGACAGTAAAGTCTAAGCCAAGAGAACTCCACAATGACCTCCTTGAGGACGCTACACCCAGGTGTGAAATAAGAAGCAAGTTAAAACTCCCGGTGGGTGGGGGAGTTGAGAAGCCACTTCTGATGCATTTACAGTGAATGCTAATGTCCACGCCTCCCTGGGCCATCTGGTGTTGGAGAGCGAAGTCCCCAGGTGAGCTGGGGAGAGCCGCTGGGTCAGACTCAGGGACCTGGGCCCCGCACAGCCCAAGCAGCTGGCCAAAACGCAGGACACCAGACACCCAGGGCACAGAACCTGCGGGAGGGGTCCGCGAGCCTTTGAGATGCCCCGACTCATTTACTTATGTACTTATTTTTAGGTGCACAGGGACGAGCGTCCTCTCCAGGGCCAAGAAGAAGTGGCCTTTCCAAAAACTGAACTGTTGAGAGAAATGGCCCCACGGGGGAAAAAGCCAGAACCAAAAGTCTGCCTTCCGGTTGCAGCTGACAGTGACTTTCGGACTGAGAGCCTTGAGAGAATTATCAGGTCCCTCCTGAACGCGTGTGGGGAGGGCAGGAAGACGCCCAAGAGACGCCCAAACGGGCCAGGGGGCAGGGGGACGTGTTTCCGTGTCCCCCTGCTCTTTAAACAATCAGGGCCTTAAACACACGGTCTTTCTCCCTCCCGCTCCCTCGCTCTTCCTCCCCACCCCTCCTATCCCTTGCTAACACTCCAGGTACGCTGGGGTCCCCTTAAATTAGATCCCAGGGGACTAGGACCTGTGTCCTGCTGGCTCCAGAAGGCCTACTCCTGCAGTCTGGGGCTGACACGTGTCATTTCTTAGATTGAAAAGTCCCAAGTGGATCTTAAGCCTTAAAAAAGAAAGTCAGCCAGCCTGCCTACCTTCAAGAGAAGGAAAAGGAAATGATTCAATGATTAACTCCCCCAAGCTGCAAAGGCAGGGAGAACTCTGCAGAACTCTAAGATGATAAGGGTTGGCTTTAATCACCCTCCCCGCTCTCTAAGCCCTTTAAAGGCAATTGGCACCATGAGTGGAATCGATCTTGCGCCCCCTCGATGGTGCTGTTGCTGCCCTGAGAGCACACTGGCAAGGAGGGCTCCCGTGAAAAGGAAAAGAAATTCCTTACTGGGCAGCCAGCAAGTGCTTCACATTTGTCATTCAGATCCTCAGCGCTGGCTTGCCTGGGTGAGGGCTGGACACAGCTCTGTGCATAAACTGGCTTGCTGGGCAGTTTAACCCTTTGCTCCCTGTTTCCCTGCCCAGAAAGCTGCTCCCTCGCTGCAGCCTCTCCGTCCCTGGCGCTTTAACAAGCCCTGCAGAGCCAGCAGCCTGTCACAGGAGTTAGGTGATGGTGGCGCTCTGATGGTGGTGGTCATGATGGTGGTGACGACGCCCCGCGGGGTCTCCTTAGCCCTGCGCTGCTCCTGACCACATCATCTAATTTGAAGCTGTGTGTCCTTAACTGAATTCAAACGCCTCCTTTGTTGCATTTTACATTGGCCTGCACCTGCGTGAGACCCCGCGGAGCCCAAAAGGAGCATTTGCAGGCTCAGTGCCCCCACCCCAGTGCTGCCAAGGCTGGCTGGCGGGGCAGGGGGCTCACCTGCCTGGCTTTACTCCCTTCAAGGAGGTTTCCCTGAACGCCACCACAGGGGGCTCCAGCCCCGGGGAGCCCTGCCCCCTGCAGCCTCCCCCAGCCTCCAGCCGGAAGGTTGGGCCAAAGCAGGACCTGCGAATGTGTGTGGCGGAGCCCAGGGCTCCAGAAGGAAACTCCAGCCAGAGGGGCAGCCTGGCACGTCCACCGAGCCTGCTCTGAGCGCCTGCCTCCCCCCAAGAACCAGGTGGGTTGGCTGGCCTTTCCGTTCTTATTGGTCCACCTTGGGAGATCGCCAGCCACCCTGCTCTCCAAGTGGCCTCGCCTCTCCGACACTGGACACTCGGCTGCAGGCCAGGGACGGCCGCTCGGCTTCCTCCCTAAGCAAGGGACCGGCAAAGGGCCCGCTGGAGCTGCTGCTGTGCGCGAAGGAGGCTCAGACCGTGAACAGCGGCCCAGGGCCCAACGGCAGTAAGAGCGGTGAGGACATGTAGCAGCTCGGGCCAGGTGGCTGATGACAATTAGGGTGTGTGCTGACCCCGCCTCTGACTCCCCGACCTGCTGAGTTCCAGGGTTCGCTCTCCCCTAAAACTCATGCCAAGGGCGCTTGCATTTCCAGATGAGGAGGCGTAGGGTTACCCCCCAATGTCTCTCGATTTTTTGTTTGGGTGATTCCAAAACGGGGCGATAAACAGCCAGGCGGTTATTGCCATCAGTACCTTTAAAGTCAGCCTCCCTCCACGCCAACCGTGTCCCTTCAGTTCGACAGTGGGGAGCCCATGTGATGATGACACTCGCCCCCCGAACCAGCGCCAGGAGACCGGGAGCTCGTCCGCCAGGGACCCCGCCGGAGGCATTCTCCACGCTGCCGTCACACCGAGCACAACAGCCACAGGTCGTGGACGCTCACAAAGCTTCGACGGCTGGACCCTCAGATGGGTCCGGCTGGGGCCACCTCCCTTGGGCAGTGAAATAAACAGGAGTTTATTTCCTCTGCAAGCATTTGGTGACTCCAGGCAGACATACCCTCCCTCGGGGAACACCAGTGGTGCTAAAAGTACACCCCAGGGCAACAGGTTTCAGCCCCACCTGAGAACAATTAGCCTTGCAAATGCCCCCATGGACCTGCAAGATCACAGGGATCACGGGCCAGCTGCGGGCACCCGAGTGGGCCTCCGGGCGGCTCTGATGTGCAAGAGAACTTTAACCCCCAGCCCGAGAAGCATCACTACTCCGCTAGGCACCAAGTGTCGGCTCCAAAACCCAGCCCTGAAGATGCAGCCATAGAACAGCTCAACAGGAGCCACACGAGCTGTGGTGACAGTCACGCAGGCACCTGCCCCTCGCCCATGTCACGGATGGAGAGACTAAGGCTCAGGACGGGTGGCTTTGCCGCAGGACACCCGTGGCCAAGCCCAAGACGCGTGTTTTTGTGTCTGTGGGAGAAAGCGGCCGGCCAGGACAAGAATGTGACGTAGAGAAGCCGATGCAGGCGGTGAGGACCTGAGAGGAGGCGCTGCCGGCGGCCCCGGAGGGGACAGCCTCGGAGGGTGACAGTCGTGGTAACCCGAATGGAGGGTGACAGTCACGTTGACGCGCAAGGAATGCGTAAGAGTTGCTCAGAGGGAGTCCCAGAGCTGGGAACGGAGAGCCTAGAGAGAGGACGGCAAGTGCTGGAAAGGCCGCAGGGAGGAGAGATGAGGGGTGCAGGCCGCAGAGGTGGCGTGGGCTGGCCACAGCAAGGCAGCCACGAGCCCAGAGAGGGCGTCGGGCCTTTCTCCCAGGCCAGTAGGGAGCGGTGGAGCGACTGAGCCGGAAGGTGACGTTTTGCTGACAGGGAGAGCAGACAAAAGCAAGTCACTCAGCGTCCTGCAGCCACCCCAGGATTCCAGACCCCCGTCCCAGCTGGCCACACCGCTACGTGTTCGGTGCAGGGATCAGTCCTATCTGCTAACGATTCTAAAGTGTCATTATTTTCTTTTTAAGCCTCTTTCAGGCGTGTAAGCGGCTTCGGCCCTGACAGGACATTTGGCTATTTGTGAGCGTCACCGCTGTGGCTCTAGAGCGTGGCGCCAGGGACCCACCTAGAGACATGAGCAAGCCTGGCTTTGCCTGCTGAAGAGTGGGGACGACA